TAGTTTGATCAGGTGTGTTTAATTAGGGTTGAACTAAACTGTGCAGAGCTGCGGCCCTCCAGGAACTGAGTTTGACACCTGTGCTCTAGGGGGAATACCTGTTCTCCATCAGTGGATTTTTTTGGTCATGTGATTTCATTTTTTCATTCGCTGTGTAAAACGTGCTGGATAAGTTGGCGGTTCATTCCACTGTGGCCACCCCGGATTAATAAAGGGACTAAGCTAAAAAGAAAATGAAGGAATTTTATTTGCTCCAGATTTTTCTTGTTGCTCAAGTGATTTTTGCTCGTGTTTTGATTTGCTTGTGATTTTTTTGTGATTTTATTTGATTGTAATTATTTTGCTTGTTTTTTTATTTTGTTCGTGATTTTTCGGTCGTGATTTTTGTGAGTGTGTTTTGCTCATCTTTTTTGCTCATGAATTTTTGGCTCATTAGATTTTCTTTGATCTCGTGATTATTTTTCTTTTGGTCATGTGATTTCATTTTGCGGATGTAATCGTGCTCGTCTTCTTAGCTGTTGATATTTTGCTTATTTGATTTCTTTGCTTATTATTATTTTTTTTGCATGTGATTTTTTGCTCATGAATTTTTGGCTTGTAAGATTTTCTGATTTCGTTTTGTGCATATATGGTTTTTGCAGTATATATGTTGATTGTTTTGCTCATGTAACTCTTTGGCGGGCACTGTGTGATCTTTCTTGTTCTTCCCTTTAGTGTGATTTTATTTTTTGACCAGTTTGTGTTGAACTTGATAACACATCTCTGAGTATCTTCATGTCTCTGCTGTAGTGAGCCACACACACACACACACACACACACACACCCAAGATTTCCAAATGCTCTTTATTTGAGCACACACTGATCCAGAGTCTGTTCATCACAGAGCGCCGCTCCTGGACAGCGGTTATAAAAACACTGATGCGGGAGTAAATAACACTGTAAACAGGACATTCCCTTCAGCTGTAGAGAACACACTGACGCCAGGATCCTCTGCTGACAGAAGACAGAGCAGCTCCACCAGACTTCACACATTGAGTTCAGTCAGCCTCGTGTTTTTAAGGGTCATTTGAGCTAACAGGAAACTGTCAGCAGCACATCTGAACACGTCACCAATATCCCAACATCAGCTGAAATACATCCCTGACCCTTCTGTGATCTTCACAGGTAATGAGACTCAGCCTCAACCTGAACATCTTTACATCTTTTACAGTGTGTGTGTGTGTGTGTGTGTGTGTGAGATCTGTCAGCCCTGTGCCCTGCTGCTTCATCAAAACACACAAAGAAAAACACACGCCATTAAAAAAAGAGGACATACAAAACTGTTAATACAAATGAGAAACAATTTAGATTTTTAAATAATAATAATAAAATAAAGCCATGTTAAAAGTGTGTGTGTGTGTGTGTGATAATGATGATGATGATGTCAGCACTGAGCATTTCCTTCACTCCGGAGCCTGCGTCTTCACGGTGAGCCTGTTCCTCCAACACACACAGTTCATCTTTATATTTATATAAATGTACAGAGAGAGTTTGCAGTATGTACAGCTCATGCATCAGCCGGCGCCGGGCATGCTGGGATTGCTCAGAGCACTCGCGGGCGTTTGGGGTCGATCTGTTTACTGGCCTGCTCCTCCTCCTGCAGCGCCGAGCGGAATGACTTCACTTTATCTGGCACACACACACACACACACACACAAACACACACGTTTCACTTTTAAGAACTTCAGGGGTGCAAATAATCTTGCATATTAGAGAAGAGTCAGTGTAAAGCACACACACATCTGAATCTGCATTAAGAAGCTGAAGTGGATCTGCTGAATATCTGACATTCCCACATCATGTTCATGTCTTTAACAAGTAATAACTCTTTACAACAAGCTGTACTGATGCATTCATGAACATGAACTGAAATATGAGCTGCAATATTGTTCTTACAAGTGTGTGTACATGTGTGTGAATCTGACCTCTGAGCTCGACCAACACGTCAATCTTCTGATCCAGGATCTGCTCAAGCTGCGTGGCGAACGACTCCACATCATAATCCACCTCCTCCGTCATCTCCAACAGAACCTTCTCATCCTCCAGCCAGCGGATCGACTCCTGCACACACACACGCGTACACATGCACACGCACGCACACACACACACACACACACACACACACACACACACACACACACACACACACACACACACACACACACACACACACACACAGTGACAAAGAACTAAAAAGTGGGAAAAATTTAATTTTTACATGATATTATCATTATTAACAGTAAAATGAACACGCTTAAGTATGACTAAAGTGCGAAAGATCAAATTTTTTCGTGGTTTTAGCACGCGATTATTAAAAACATGAAACAGTAAAACGAACACGCTTAAGTATGAATAAAGTGCGAAAGATCAAATTTTTCGCGGTTTAGCACGCGATTATTAAAAACATGAAACAGTAAAATGAACACGCTTAAGTATGAATAAAGTGCGAAAGATCAAATTTTTCGCGGTTTAGCACGCGATTATTAAAAACATGAAACAGTAAAATGAACACGCTTAAGTATGACTAAAGTGCGAAAGATCAAATTTTTCGTGGTTTTAGCACGCGATTATTAAAAACATGAAACAGTAAAATGAACACGCTTAAGTATGACTAAAGTGCGAAAGATCAAATTTTTCGCGGTTTAGCACGCGATTATTAAAAACATGAAACAGTAAAATGAACACGCTTAAGTATGACTAAAGTGCGAAAGATCAAATTTTTCGTGGTTTTAGCACGCGATTATTAAAAACATGAAACAGTAAAATGAACACGCTTAAGTATGACTAAAGTGCGAAAGATCAAATTTTTTCGTGGTTTTAGCACGCGATTATTAAAAACATGAAACAGTAAAATGAACACGCTTAAGTATGACTAAAGTGCGAAAGATCAAATTTTTCGTGGTTTTAGCACGCGATTATTAAAACATGAAACAGTAAAATGAACACGCTTAAGTATGAATAAAGTGCGAAAGATCAAATTTTTCGCGGTTTAGCACGCGATTATTAAAAACATGAAACAGTAAAATGAACACGCTTAAGTATGACTAAAGTGCGAAAGATCAAATTTTTCGTGGTTTAGCACGCGATTATTAAAAACATGAAACAGTAAAATAAACACGCTTAAGTATGAATAAAGTGCGAAAGATCAAATTTTTCGCGGTTTAGCACACGATTATTAAAAACATGGAACAGTAAAATGAACACGCTTAAGTATGACTGAAGTGCGAAAGATCAAATTTTTTCGTGGTTTTAGCACGCGATTATTAAAAACATGAAACAGTAAAATGAACACGCTTAAGTATGAATAAAGTGCGAAAGATAAAATTTTCATGATTTTGACATGTGGTTATTAAAAACATGAAACAGTAAAATGAACACGCTTAAGTATGAATAAAGTGCGGAAGATCAAATTTTCATGATTTTGACATGTGGTTATTAAAAACATGAAACAGTAAAATGAACACGCTTAAGTATGACTAAAGTGCGAAAGATAAAATTTTTCGTGGTTTTAGCACGCAATTATTAAAAACATGAAACAGTAAAATGAACACGCTTAAGTATGACTAAAGTGCGAAAGATAACTTTTTTCGTGGTTTTAGCACGCGGTTATTAAAAACATGAAACAGTAAAATGAACACGCTTAAGTATGAATAAAGTGCAAAAGATAACTTTTTTCGTGGTTTTAGCACGCGGTTATTAAAAACATGAAACAGTAAAATGAACACGCTTAAGTATGAATAAAGTGCGAAAGATCAAATTTTTCGTGGTTTTAGCACGCGATTATTAAAAACATGAAACAGTAAAATGAACACGCTTAAGTATGAATAAAGTGCGAAAGATCAAATTTACGTGATTTTGGCAGGCGATTGATAAAAACATGAAACAGTAAAATGAACACGCTTAAGTATGACTAAAGTGCAAAAGAATAAATTTTTCGTGGTTTAGCACACGATTATTAAAAACATGGAACAGTAAAATGAACACGCTTAAGTATGACTAAAGTGCAAAAGAATAAATTTTTCGTGGTTTAGCACACGATTATTAAAAACATGGAACAGTAAAATGGACACGCTTAAGTATGAATAAAGTGCGAAAGATCAAATTCTCATGATTTTGGCCGTCATGTATTTAAAGATACAATTATTTATGACTTGGGCACGCAATTAAAATAAACTTTATAAAATACGACTAGCGTGAGAGAGACAGTTATTGATGATTAGGAAAGTGCTAAGCTACGCTGTTTACTGTCGTATAAACTTCATTTCACTCATGAATACTGTTGATTTTATTATAAACTCTGGATTAGTGTGAGGCTGCTTGATGATTTTCGTCATGTCTAATAATTACACCACCTGTGATGTTAATCCTGTCTGAATAAAGACTTATAAACATCGCAAACAAACCTGGAAGACGGCGCGGTGGTCCTCCAACACCTGCTCCTCCATCTCCACCAGCTGAGACACCACCTCATGGAAGGTGAAGAGCTGCGGGGACACTTCCTCTTCCTGTCAGTCACATGAACAGAACGGCATTACAGAGCTGTGTGCGTGTCTGTGTATGCATTTGTAGTTGTATATATATATATGTGTGTGTGTGTGTGTCTTACGTTTTGTTCACAGAGCAGTTTGAGGTCGTCTCTCTGCGGTGAGCTCCCCATCCCCCACTGTGCCTCCAAAACCTCCAACTGAGACCCGACCCGACTCTCTGGCAGCACACCAGGGTCCAGAACCAGCTCCTTCATTCTGCGCAAAACACACACACAGACACACACACACACACATACACACACACATTATTAAAATATACAAAAACAAATAGAAACACGAACACACATACACAGACATGATTAGCAACGTAGGAAAAGGGAGATGGCTACTGCGAGAGTCAAAGCTCAGGGTAACACTCCTGCGGGAGTCATGCTCATGGCTATGAAGAGGAGGAGGGAGAGGCGGAGTCATGCTCATGGCTATGAAGAGGAGGAGGGAGAGGCGGAGTCATGCTCATGGCTATGAAGAGGAGGAGGGAGAGGGGGAGTCATACTCATGGTTATGAAGAGGAGGAGGGAAAGGCGGAGTTATGCTCATGGTTATGAAGAGGAGGAGGGAGAGGCGGAGTCATACTCATGGTTATGAAGAGGAGGAGGGAAAGGCGGAGTTATGCTCATGGTGATGAAGAGGAGGAGGGAGAGGCGGAGTCATGCTCATGGTTATGAAGAGGAGGAGGGAGAGGCGGAGTCATGCTCATGGTTATGAAGAGGAGGAGGGAAAGGCGGAGTCATGCTTAAAATGTGAAACTGTAATATGCTGATGATGAACAGCCAGACTGCTGAGTTTATGCTAATTTAGATGAATATGGAAATATATGCAGCACTTTCCTGTCAATAACACACACACACACACACACCACACACACACACACAAACACACATAGAGAGAGGGAGCTCTGTCAGACCTGCAGGAGTCGGCGTACTCGTCTGTGGGAGAGAGATCTGAGCGCGCGCCGCCGCTCTGAGAGAAGGGGATATCAGATGGACTGATGCCAAACTCCTTTACCCTGCAGAACACACACACACACACACACACACACACATTACAGATATTTAACTTATTTTAAAATACACCTTTGATAAAAACTT